AGGGCACTTATTAGGGCTGCAGTTGCAAATACAACTAGAACAATAAAAGTGTAATCTTCTAGAGAAAAAGCAGATAAAGGTAGATTACGGTTTATGATCTCATGAATCAATGTCATATTGTACTCTGCTAAACACTTATATTTATGTATTATCACTGTTATATTTTTTTATAAAATACAATCAATATTACTGTAACTGAAAAATACAAAATACTTAGGAGGTTGTCTTTTTTTCCTGAAACACACAGAGGAAACATATCTTATATTCATTGTTGTTTATGTCAGATTTTATATTTAATTATATCAACAAACTAGGTTTTGGTGTTTTACTGTTTTTGTGCAAATACAAAATAGTGGCATACCTACTACCGTGAGAATAATGTGGGATTTTTGGATATGTATAATGACAGCTGTATAGTCCTCTATCAGACATCTGTGTCTTCAGTATCTTTATGGAGGCTTATAGTAGAAGAAATAGTGCCATTGGTTGTGCCTCACAGCAATGAAATGCAAGTGCACACAAGGATGGAATGTGGGCTATACTTCCACACCTGTGACCATGGGGTCCTGCTCTCTAAAGTCAAAGCACTTGCAAAAGGACTGGATTGTTGGACAAATATTGAACTTGGGTTGAATAATTGAAAAGCCATACTCATAAAGTATGCCCCCAGTAAGATTGTATACTGATACTGAGATGACAATACTCTTTGAGTGAAGAATCCCTCAGTCGTTGAGGTAGAATCCATGGCAGGGAGAAAATTCAGCTTGTCGACTGTGTGTGCAGGCAGATATAAGGAAGTGACCACCAGCATTCGGACCACAACTGAAGAAGCAGCTTGGATGAGCTGCGAAATGTATTTGACCAAACAAACTTTTGTCCAGTCGACAAACTGATTTTTCTCCATGCCAATACTCTTAGAGATAAGAATTTTTATAGACTGCTTTCTGTCTATTTTTAAACCTGTAAATTTTTTCCTAAACACAGCACATACAGTACACAGGGACTAATCTCCATGATCTTGTTGCTAGTCTTGGTCAGGACTACCACAGGATTGTGTGTATGTTGCATGTTTTGGGTTGAGGAGGGAAACCAGAGTTCCCGAAGGAAACACACCCAGTCACAGGGAGAACATGCAAACTCCACACAAAAAGCTTGGCGACCTGTCTTTTTTGCTCATAAAAATGTAAGCATTGTTCTCTGTAGCTTTTGATCAAGAACCTCTTATTCTCACCTGGAATGCTCACTTCCGTTGTATAATTGACCTGATGGTGGATGCTCCTCTGAGTGACCACACAGGTGTAACTGTCACTTCTGGTCACATTCACTTGAAGTTCAACAGGAGAGCGTCCATTTTGATTCTGTGGAACATGCTTTTCCAGAACGTCCCCAGCACTGTTTATCCACTCCACCTCAGGTTCAGGGACACCTTTAGCTTTACACTCCAGCTGTCGCCAAGTAATTTTATCACGCACAGTTCTGATGTTTGGCACTCGAGCTGCCCCTGAGGAGAGAATAAAAAGTTGGTGATGATCTTAAATTAAACATTTGTTTAGTAAATCTGTTTATTGAACCTGATTTTACCTTGACTAAAATCTCCCTCAATTCTGTCTCTGAACCCTTTAGTACAGACAAACAGCTGAACTTATTGAGAAGTTGAAGCTCTGTGGTTTTGACCTCTGCTGTCTGATCTACTCCCATTATAACTTTAACATTATATTAATATTAACATTATACTTTTAGGAGGTACGTATTTACAGACACCAGGAACGTTCTGTTCCGAATGCCTCCTGGACGCCTCCCTCGGGAGGTGATCCGAGCATTTCCCATCGGGAGGAGGCCCTAGGGAAGACCCAGGACACGCTGGAGGGACTATGTCTCTCGCTGGCCTGGAACGCTCGGGTTCCCCGGAGGAGCTGGAGGACGTGTCTGGGGTGAAGGAAGTCTGGGAGTCCCTGCTTAGATGCTGCCCCCCGACCCGGCCCGGTAAGCGAAAAAAATTTATTGGGTGGATGGATGGATTACAGACAACACATGGAGCATTTGTTTGGTCTTGACAATTCCTTTTTAAACTGAAGCCAATGACTGAGAATAATTTATGATAATAATAGTTTAAAATGAGAACGAGTTTAGAATTTTAATTTACACTGTCAGTGAACAAGGGTGTTGAAATATGAGCTACTTTTAAGAAGTTTTGTTTTACATGGAAGAGAAACATTTAATATTTTTACTTATCAGAAGGTTACTCACCAAGAACGTTCTGTCTGTTCTTTAACCTGTTGTATACACCAGAATGCATGTGATCTTACTTAAATAAAACTAAAAATATAAATATAAATAGCCTATGCGTATATATAAGTCCTCTCTATTAATGATAGACAAACTAACTGAAAAGGGACTACGTCTAAATAAATATGTTTTATGAAAATATTTCTGTTGATTAAATTGTGTTATTTAAATAAACAGTTTCGTCACGTGCTGTTGCGGGAGAGAATAAAAGTTCACCTCAGAGCCGAATATCACAGCAGTCAATATGAGGACACGGATAAACTGATGCCAGCCTGCGAGTGAACCATTAGAAAGGCTTGTTTTTTTAAAATCATAATTTTAGACAATCAAATCAAATCAACAAATGAAGTGAAACACGTGATGCACGGATTTAAATTACACTTGGAAAACCGTAGCATGCTAATTGTTAACACAAATCACCTAAATTAATTGACAAGACAGTTCGTCCAATGATGTTTACTGTAACTGTTCTGTACCCGCCCAGAAACAAAAGGAACCAATCAGCACAGTTCTCTGCCGCTCTGGGCCCAAACCAGCGAACTTCAGAACTCTACCAGCCAATCACAGAAGCGCCTCTGCTCCGGAGAGCAACAAGTGTGTGATTGACAGCTGCGTCCAGCCAATGGAGAGTCTCACGTCTAAACCGCACCAGGACGAAGATCCACCTGTTTGACTTTATTTATACAAGTCTAGTGTTGAATTAACTCAACAAGGACGAACCCAAACCAAAGACACGGGGGAAACAAATACCTATATATATTTACTTTTTTTTTTTCAAACTATGAGCTATTAGTGGGCAGGTTGTGCTTACAAACCTGTGAAAATGTGCAGATGTGGGCCTATTTTATGAAATAACAAATAACTATAACAATTGTTTTTATCACTGTAGTCTAATTATTGTAAATTGACCTGTGTTCATTCCTTTTATGCCAACTCTTTTTTCAAACAATATCAACTCAACAATTATGAGTAATTTTAAATAACTCTATTTTGTCAAGTGAACATTTTCTTTTTGTCTGAAACTTTAAGAGACCTGTGGCAAAGACAGAAAAGGTCATATTTCTAATTACAAGAGACTATTGCACAATATGAAAGCTACACTTAATTTTGACTTCAGCTTTTGAGTTACTTTGAAAACAGTTTTCACATATTTATCTGTCTCTGAACAGTGACGAAAAACATTAATGTTTAAGACTGACTCACAGCCCAACATCTCCTTAAATTACAAACGTGTTTTGTTTTCAGTAACATCTTCACATGATGTCAAGTATCAATAGTTTTCAATGCATCAACAGTTAATGATGTTTGTGAAGAGAAAATTTAAAATCTGCCCTTTATGACTATAAGTGTTATAAGATTAAAACACCATCTGTAAAACAGAAATAAAAACATGTAGAAATGGTGTTAATAATTGTGAGATAAAATAAATGAGATGCAGTACAAGTATTTCATGTCCCTGACTATGCAGTCTGAGCGTGGTCCTCAGAGGAACATTTGACTCAACATTACCTGCAGCATAGCATGTGGTATGAACCTGGATCTGATCAGGTTTTAGTCTGGGGATCTTTTCTTTAATATTAAATGGCAACAGAAAATACAGAGGAGCAAATAAATGAAGACGATGCATATGCAAAGTAAAACAGCACACACCACATAACAGACAACAAGCAAACACAAAGAAGCCAAACAGAAGCTGTGAAACAACATTTATTTAAATGAATTAAATACTCACCCACATGAAGGATAATGTTAACCACAGGTGTGGCTCCATCTAATTTCATTATTGAACAGGTGTATGTGCCAGTGTCCTCCAAACGTGTGTTTTTGATCTTTATGGAGGCATTTCCAGATGCAACTTTATCTTCAAAGAACTCAACACGAGTCTTGAACTGTTGACTTTGACCTGTTGAGGCCGAGCCGGAGTATTTGCCATTGTCATACTAAACACCTTCGTGTTCTCCATTGTTTTTCCTCCAGTCAAACGTGGCTCTTCTAACTGAGTTTTCAGAGCTCAGATCACAGTTGAGGAGAGCATCTTCCCCTTCTGACACAGTCACCATATTATTGGGCTCTACAACATACAACACAACAAGTATCACATATAGACATTTTTTTAAACAGACAAGACTAATATCATGGAGAGAGGGAGGATACAAAAGAAACTAGAAAAGCAGTGAGGCCTATTAATACAGATAGAAGAACAGCATTTAAGCAGAAGACTATCCAAGTATTTTGAACAATAGGCTATAGTTTTTTGTTTTTTGCTCTCTCTAATTAAACATAGACTTAAGTCAGACCTCCGAAGGAAGGATCAGCTTAAATGAAATGTTTTCATGCACCGCTGTACAAAACAATGGAAGGTCTCGCCACTAGAGGTCACTAGGACTCACATAAAGGATATGCAAGAGTCTACAATCCCTGCGCCTGCACCATGGCCTGCACACAGGCTAAAGTTATGAGACACACCTAATGATGTCACGTGTAGTCTATATGAGTGCAATAAGACACTAGAAGCACGAGCAGGTGCACACTTTCATCGATAATAGCCTTTGTACTAAGTCTAATACATCCTGATGTGAAATAAGCTTCATGGATGTCCAAAATCACTGGGCTAATCCACAGTGACTCAGGTGTCGGAAAACAGCACAGATCCGCAAACAAACACAAACTGTCACAAATGAACCAGTGGAGCAGGTGTCGTGTGGTTTTCTTACTTGTGTCTTGCGCAGACGCTGGTCCAAAGCCCGGAGACAGGAGGCAGAGCAGCGGGAGCAGGATCATCAGGGTCATGTCTACACCGCGATGGGAGCAGTGTCCCTGTGGCTCAGACACAGTGAGACATGGAGAGACACAGTTCTGCAGGAGCGCAGACTCTTATCACATCTGTGCTTCCGGTCCCATCACTACAGCGTCACGCACACACGCGCGGGCACGTACAGCGCGTGGACGACACAAACAGCTGCGAAGTTTCAGCTCTGTGTCCTGTTGTGTCAGAACCATAGACCGTGTTTATAAACAGATGTATAAAGAGCGCATTCGTCCCTTTGGCTCTGGTCTGGACATGAGAATGTCCCTCTGTCCTCTGTGATCATCTAAAACCATGACTCTGCACTTCTCTGAGTGGGGCTGTGTGCTTCAGTTTGTGAAGTGGTGTGCGGGGCGGGGGGACTTTTATTTCTGTCGTGAAAATTGTGTATTTCTGTTTAATTATTCATTATATGAACACTCAATTTTAAACCTTATTTATGTCATTTGGGACGTTTATGATCTAATATTTTACACAATGTATGAGTATTACAGAGAACTGTTACACGTCATGACAGAAGCTAAGTGTTAGATGATAATGTGACTTGCTGTTATTGTATGTGGAGTGCAGCAGCTCGCGTGTTGAGCCGTGGCATCCTGACCTGTAGGCTACACATTTTGTTTCGTGCAGATTAAAACCACAAAAGACAGCACTGTTCCCTGGCCATTTGTTCACAACACAGCGCAGATAAACTATGACAGTCAAAAACGAACACTGAACTTTTGCACGGCCAAGTTCAGCGCGGTTACATAATGTAATTCATGTTTGTATGATGATAATAATGCAGTAGTCTTATACAGCTCTTATCTAGATGATCAAAGTCAATTTTGTGCATTATTCATTCACTCCATGCTGGTGTTAAGGCACTATTGTAGCTACAGCTGCCGTGGGGCAGACTGACACGAGTGAGGCTGCCAATCTGCTCCATCTGCCCCCCAACTGACTGTTTACTATAATCTGTTCTTTGAATGGCAGAAATGATAATGGCAGTAAACAAAAGAGAAAGTAAAACACAAACTCCTCAAGACTCAAAATGCTTACTAAGTACTACAGTATGTAAATCATTACTCAACTTTACTATTACAATTTATGCAAGTTCAGATCAGATCGTGAAATGATATGAGTCACATCCTGAGCACACGCACTCGTTTATCTGTGTGTATGCATGTGTGTTTGTGTCTTTGTGTGTGCCTGTGTATGTGTGTGTCTGTATGTATGCGGAGTGTGTCTGTGTGTGTGTGTGAGCCTTGACTTCCTCAGAACTTGAACCTGTGACCTCATGACTGTTTACTATAATCTGCTCTTTGAATGGCAGTAATTGGCCCGAGCGAGTCTGAAGCAGCTCTGAAGAAATATACTGAACTGTGAAAAATGTGCCCAGATCAGGTCATAAAAATAATTAACCAAAAGAGAAAGTAAAACACAAAATCCTCAAGAGTCAAAATGCTTATTATAAGAGTACTACTACTACTACTACTACTACTACTACTACTACTACTACTACTACTACTACTACTTCTACTTCTACTACTACTACTACTACTACTACTACTACTACTACACTACACTCAATAGCCCAACCCTGTCTTTTGTGAGTTCATGTGTGAAGGCTTCCAGAACAACCAGTTAATCCACAACCGGTGAATATGTTTAATCTTCTAAACAAAATACATTTTGTAATCTCAACTGTTGCTGATCTCACTTGTTTGGAGGAAATGGAAATGTGGTGATTTCTAACTCTTATTTTACTTTAATTTCTGTGTATGAAGACATTTTGAAATGACCTCAGTACAGCCTCTATACAATTAAGTTTTCCAAATGTGTGCAAAGCTGAGTCAATCAACATTAAAATCCATTGTTTACAAAAATATATTCTTCTTTAACCTGAAACCAAAAATTTGTATGAGGTAACTGATGCTACTGAATTAAATGTTAAGCACTCATTATTTACATTTTTAATTTAAAAAAGTAAAGTAGTTTTCAGACTTATTTATTTGCATTTAAGTGTTTTAACTTATGACACAATGCACATGCATAGACATTTAATTAATGTATTTTTTAAAATAAAATAAATTATTTATGTATATATTTCAATGCAGAAAACCACTAAAATCACTGACACATTACAATTACTCCACACTTGATAAAAATAAATAAAAAATAAATAAATAAATAAATAACTGTAATGCTCAAGCTCTGGTCTGACATCTTCCCAGCAGCAAACGAGGTTCCAGGTTCAATGCCCCAGTTCGGGCCTTTCTGTGGAGAGTTGACATGGTTCAAATCAAATCAAATCAAACTTTATTTATAAAGCACTTTTCATACAAAATGCAACACAAAAGTGCTTTACAGTGATTAAAAAACAGTCCCGCATTTCACCACCCAACCACCCACCAACCCAACCCCAACGCACCCCCAACCCCACATAGTCAAACAACCCAAACACACACACTCACATACACACAAACATGCACACGCACACACACACACACACACACACACACACCACTCACACTCACACGCTAAAAACATAACCGGACACAATAAAATGTGAGGCTGAATACAGGCGAACCAGTTGAGAAAGCACCATCAGAGGAGCCGTCTGCACCGGGAGCAAGAGACGTCCACCACCACCAGGAACCACACAGGGTCCAGGGGAGAGATGAAGCCCAGGCACCTGAGGCCCAAGCACCATCCCTCCACCAGGAGCCCACATGACAGACCCCAGCCACAGCTGACCTCCACTCCCGATGCAGAGGGCTCCTACAGAGGAGACACTGGAAATCCTAAAAAATATGCCTAAGATAAAATAAATATAGTAAAAGTGTACAATAAAAAACAAGTAAAAGTATAAGATTTCAATCAAAAGCTAAGCTAAAAAGGTGGGTCTTGAGCCTACTCTTAAAAACATGAACGTTTCTCTGCAGCCCTGAGCTCCTCCGGCAGGGCAGTTCCATAGACGAGGGCCATAGTGCTGAAAAAGACGCCTCTCCGTGAGTGTGTGTCCTGACTTTGGGGAATGACCAGGAGCCTGCTGCTGGGAGGAGCGCAGGGTCCGCGAGGGTTCGTAGGTAAAAAGCAGTTCTGAAAGATAAGAGGGCCCAAGACCATTAAGACATTTAAAAACCAGTAAAAGAACTTTAAAATCGATCCTGAAACTCACAGGGAGCCAATGCAGTGATTTTAAAACCGGTGTAATGTGGTCCTGCCCTCTGGTCCTCGTCAGGACACGCGCTGCTGAATTTTGTAGTAATTGCAAATCTGAAATACTCTTTTTGGGAAGACCAGAGAGCAGGGCATTACAGTAGTCTATTCGACTGGTGATAAAAGCATGCATCAGCGTCTCGGTGTTGGCCAGAGAGAGAATGGGGTGGACTCTGGCTATGTTTTTTAGGTGATAAAAAACAATTTTTGTGATGTTCTTAATGTGTGGGATAAAAGTTAGCTCAGAGTCAAGAATGACGCCCAGGTTTTTCACTTGTGGAGAAGGGTTAAAGGACTGTGTTTGGAATTTGGGTAAAAGTTTCTCTCTCTGGGCCTCAGGACCAATGACTAAAACCTCAGTTTTGTCCTGGTTAAGCTGGAGGAAGTTTTCTGCCATCCAGGACTTAATTTCTAGAATGCAGTTAAAAAGGGCATCCATTGGTCTCCTGCACTCTCTGTTCTCTCATCAACCCAAAACATGCACCACAGGTACAAAAGACATTCTGACCAAGATCACGGAGATAAAATGTGCCTTAACCTCAGCTTAACCTTAAAGGAAGCCATTAGCCACTTCTGTAAACCACTTCCAGTTAATTTGAACATTTGTATTTCTGTTCTCTCACTTACTCTCATTCCCATTTATTTATTGTGGTTATTGTGGAAAACATCAGCTGGTGTTATATTACCTCAGTTACATTCACTTCTGTTCATAAATCAAGTGTCACGTCCCAACACTATAATTTACCCTTTTTTTCAACCACTTTGTATTGAATCATATTATTATTGACTTTACTCTGTGCTATTCTTGTCTACTATGTCCTTTACAAAGCCTTTACAAGTTGACACATGTTGTCTGGCAGTATGTAGGCAGAATAATTCACTGTCACCAAGTTACAAGGAAAGGATGCAAGTCACTTAAAATCACTTAAAACTCTTGAAATAGTAAGTATTGCACCCAAGTAAACTCAATAAAAAAATCTAGAATGACCTTGAAAAGCTATATAAACATTAGTGGCTTAAACCAGGGTGAAAAACAGATTCTGCTTGTTACCATGGAGATCTCATTGCTTTGTCTAGAATGTTCCAGAATGGCATTAATCTTATTCACTCAACTTTGGAGTTTTTAGTGCTAAAATTCTTCGTGTATTCTTACTGTCTGCTCACCTCTCAAGAGATCTGACCTATAACTAATATGCAAGTTTAATGCCATACTGCGGGACATTATGGACGGAGCAATATATAATACTACTTTTACTGTTACTAATACTACTACTGCTGCTACTTTAAATACTACTATTTAGCTGTTTCTGCTGATGTCCTCCAACAAACAAACCAAGCTTTCTATCATCATGGAGACCAAACCAGGCCAAGTCACAGGTCAGATCTGTGGAGAGGCGACCCCACTCACAGAATGTTTGTTATTCTGGGTATTTTTGAGCTATAAAACCACATGTAATAGAATTAATGTAAAGTAGATCTGTTTAATGTCATACTGTGGAACATTCCAAGCAGAGCACTGACATATCCATAGAAACAAGGTGACAGGCCCCCTATTGAAAAGTTACATAGTGCAAAATAAAAATTCCATGTAAAATATTTTTTAGAATATGTGTTGAATTCTAAGTAATCAGAATGGTCGAGCAGAGATGTGAACTTTTTGTGGTTGGTGCAGAGATGCTGCAGATGATACGTCCTGTTTACAGAACAGAGGGAAAGAACGGGGGTCCAAATCAATGTTTTTAGTCAAACAAAATACTCTCTAAATGAACACAGGCAATATACAAGTTTAAAGGACATATGTGTAAGATTTTTTTTCATAAACTTCACCTGCATCTCCAGACATGAGGTGTTCAAATCAAATATAGCTCTTAATGGTAACAATTGTAACGTTGATTATTGTTTTGGTTCTTAAAGTTTATCCTGTCCGAAACCAAAATGAGCATGAATCTTCCATTTGGGTTGCCAGTTCCAGTGCTGAAATCCAGCTGGTTTAAACCTAAAATGCTTCTCTGATCTGAATGGACAATACCTAAACCCGAGAACCTGCAGACAATCATTACTCTGTGCTA